CACAGGCTAGAGGTTCAGGTTCACCCAGCCTGCGTGGGACCTGCTGCCCTTGATGTCAGGGTGGAAGCGGTGGCGCGAAAGCGGTTTTGGTTGTTGGTTTGAGTTCTGCTTCCACGAGCAGGAAGGTCTCGCTTCGGAGGAGATAATCCAGACCAGACTCGGATTTTTGGTTTAGCAACGAGGGATAATTAGAGAGATTGATCATTCCCCAGGACTACTGAAGCAAATAAACTGTTTGGTGCCCGATGCAGGATGAGAATGGCATCTAATGGAAACGGTGGGTAGGTCAGCATGGCCATAATTTGGCTTGATGAAGCATCCACATGGGCACGGTGTTAATGCGCTATTGATATTCAGCCAGGCAATTTCCCCCCGCGCGCGTCGGGCTTTGACTCGTTAGAGCAGAGCCGGGCGCTGCGGCGGTAAATGAAGAGGAAAATTGAAGTAATGTTGGATTATAAATTTATGATTTCATCTGCCTGACCTAGAGAGCGTCGAGCGCTGGCGACGCGGGCGAGAAACCCCCCAAGCAGCTCCGCCGGTGCCGCTGCCGGCTTTGGCTGAGGACAGCGGGGCTGCTGCGGTGCTGCCCCGGGGTCGGAGGCAAATGCAGCGGGGCAGGGGATCCCTGGCAGAGCGGAGGGATCTCCGCAGAGCGGAGCCAGGGATCCCCTGCCCTGGTGCATTTGCCTCCAACCCTGGGGCATCAGACTAGATGACATCCTGCGCCTCACCGCCAGCTCCAAAAACACCGCCGGCACTTGGGTAGCTGCCATCCACTGGCATGTCGGTCCCCGACAGTCGTGAGCTACTTGGGAATGGTTCAAAGCAGAATAAAACGGAATTTTTCCCACTGGGCGAGGAGAAGGGGCTGCGGTCGGACGGCGCGGAGTGATTTTTCACGGCGGTGTTCATGGCGCTACTTCCTTAGCCAACAATCCATTTATCAATATTGTTGGGTTTTTTCTTTAAAAAAAAAAAAAAGGGTTTGTAAAGCTTAACTTGGAAAGATCTGATTTAATGACAGAGGTGATTAATTTCTAAGGGAATCCAGCTGTTGAGCTGTGAAATAAATAAGCAAGGGCTAAGCGGTGTGTACATACCGCTGAAAGCTGCAGCGTGCTGTCCGGGGCTCGCAGGGCTGCTTCCCCCATCCTCGGCTTAATCCTGTCATCAAAATTCATCCAGGCATTTTTATCTTCTGCTTTTACCTTATGATTAATAGTACGTTACATGTATCTATAAATCTAATCAGAAACAGAGGGACTTGCAGCGGCAGAAAATAGCCGTACAATGTGTGAGTATATTAAAGAATAAATAAAAAACAGATTTAGGAGACCCCCAGAAGAACCATTCAGCAGCTGAACGTGTTCTCGGGCTCCAGCCCAGCTGCTGCTGTTTCCACTGACTTCCAGCGGAGTGAGAGCAAACTTTTAGTGATGGTTTCTTGGTCTGGAAAGGTCTTTTCCTGGAGACTGGAGGAGTCTGGGCTGGCGCTGATGGTCGCAGCCACACAGCGTTTGTCGCACTGGAGTTGCGAAGGGTCGTTGCTGGTTTTAAGCAAGCCGTGCAAGGCAACGCTGAGGATCGAAGTGGGGTGACGATTTTAGGAAATCTCCGTAGTGCCCAGGACAGCTCGTGGCACCGGCCAAACCGCTCGCAGCAAACAGCAAGGCTGGCTGTTCGGCGTAAGGCTGCGAAGTTAAAACACGGGGGGTCCCGGTGTGTGACCCCTTGGCGCTGCCAGCCCACGCGCGTGCAGGGACTAGCGTGGCCCCAGCACGCAGGGCAGCCAAACTGGAGAGCCAAACCCCGCTGCCCCGACCGGGCTGGCAGTGCCCACCTGCCATGCTGGCCATGTGCATCCACGAGCCGACAGCGGAGTGGCGGAACCTCTGTGCCCACCGCAGGCTCTGCCCTTGCACCCACGCTGCCTTTCGCCCCAGAGCAGCCACGTAACACGTTTGCTCAGGCGTCATCCTGAACAAAGCGATCCAGAGCGGTGCTTTTCCCATCACAGCGCTCCAGGAGCTGCCGGAGGTGGGGCGCGTCTCCGCGCCCGTCTCGGAAATTGCTTTAGGAAGCGGTTCCCAGAGCCGGGTTTTACTTTCCTGAAAAATTCAAAGCTCTTTGACTCTCGGCTCGTGGCTGGTGCTGCCGCTGACTCTTTGATGTGTTAACTGTTGTCCTTCCCACTCCCGGGATAAAGAATTACTGCTACCTTAATCTCCAACTGTCAATAGCTCGGAAGCAAAGTACATTCATTGTAAGCTCTCCAAATGTCAGAGCAAACCTGGGCTATGTGTTTAGCCTCAGCATTTGGCATTTACTCTTCCAGCTAACAAGTATGCACAGTCCTTGGACTTCAGATACCCAAGTGCATGTTAATTACGGAGTGACAGGGCTCCTGCCCCGCAGCACCCGCCCCGGCCGCTCTGGGTGGTTCTATTCCAGATAACAGCGAAACCTTTCTGGGGTTTTGCGTGAGCGGAACAAAGCTCGGGGTTTAATATCTTCTGTAAAATCAAGTCTCACCCGTCCTCCGTGTCATTTTGTGTTGCTTGTAAAGAGAAAAAGCCTTTGTTAATCTTCAAATTTCTCTCTCTCTCTCTTTCTTTTTTTTTTTTACATTTCTGTGATGAAGGTTACCCGAATTTTGTTGCAACGTATGGCCGAGGATATCCTGGATTTGCCCCAAGTTACAGCTATCAGTTCCCAGGTACGTACGTTTCATTTGCAGTTTACTTTTTTTCCCCTCTTTCCTTCTTTTTTTTTCCCTTTTTTTTTCAATCCATAGCTGCAAGCTGAGACAGGCAAGTCTGCAGGAAGCATCTCACACAACAACCAATTTTTTTACTATTTTAAGACAGATATTTATATAAACATATTCTAAATACATTTTTACTCACGTGTAAATTGGTACTGGTTATTTGAAAACAAGCTTCTTAAATTAGAACATAAAGCAGCAGAGATAACTGAAGAGCTGTTACCCTCCCTTTGATGGGTTTTTCCTTTTGTAGATACTATAGAGATACACACAGACACACACCGCACGCAGACTCGCACACACGTTCCCCTGCTGTCCTGTGGTAAGTGTACGTTCATGGCACGCGCAGTCGCCGAGCGGAAAGTCCGACCTTCCCGTGTTCTTTGTCGGTATCTCTGGTGTCCTTCGTGGAAATAGTTTTCTTGACACGTGTTGATGGTTCGGTTTCGTTCCCCCTGCCCTTTCCTCGTCGTGGCTGCCACCGGCCGCGGTGGTGGGA